ATATATACCTTATCCTGAATCTAATATTACTGCAAGTTTATTTAGACATTGTGTGAAACAACAATTCACCTTCATTATCAGAAAATGTTGCCAGAAACCCGGAAGCAACCGTACGGTACGATTTAATTTTTATAATAATATCATTGTTAACAACTGCACTTTATTAGTTGCTATAAATATGTAAATTACATCAAATTATATTGTCTTACATAATTTACAAATATACATTGTTAGCAACTGTGCTTTATCAATTGCTAAAAAATATGTAAATTACATCAAATTATTGTCTTATATAATTTACAAATGTAATATTAAATAAGATTTACAGATATAATATAAAATTTACAAATATAATATAAAATACAAAAATGATATTTCATCAAATCTTTTTATTTGTTTATTAAAACGCACAATTAATAATTCAATTAACTATTTGCTGTATTTAAAATGTACGATCAATAATTAATATAATTAGCAATTTTAAAAAACTATAAATTGAAATTCGTAAAACTGTCAAGTTTTTTTTCAAAATTTACAATGATTAAATTTGTTTCCGTCAATAATTCTTTCAAACTGTCTTTAACAACAAGTGGTGCTGTCAACAACAAACAAGTGATGCGCTGTCAACTTTTTTCTCAATAGGATTCTTTGCTTGTTTTTTTTGAAGGATTGTTGAAGAATTTTTCTTTGTGGATTTGCTCAGGAAACGAACTTATTCTTGATTGTGCCTCTGAAATTTGCACTAACATATGTTTTGCTTAATACGCTCTATTGCAATGAATTTTATTCACTAATAATTACAATTACACAAAGTATTAATTTGTACTGATAAGATACTGATAATTTCGTAATTTGATATTATCCACCAAATCTGATGATTAAAGGAGATAGAGTGGAAGAAGCAATAAATGTTTGCGAAAATAAGTCAAGGATTTGAATGAATGCTTTTCATTCAACTGCATGATATTTGCTGATACTTTGCAAAAAACCAATATGCCGAATAAAACGATTTAAATTCCTCATATAGTTAGAGAAATTGCATTACTACAACAAAGCATATTACAACAGTGAGAGCTATATTAACGGATGATATAATAATGGCAGTTGGTTGGTTTTTAACATTGAGTAATTGTCAGATTGTAAAACCTGCTGCAAAATTTCGACAATACAAAGTAAATTTAGTATTAAACAAAGAAAGTCAATTGGGCAAAAAGTTTACAATCATTTAGCAATTGGAATATAAGTTCTGCTATTAAATTGACAGATGGTTAACAATAAAATTGGGAGCACATTTTAAACATCTTTGTTAACAAATTGTCAATCTTTAGTCTTATCGATTTCATATAAATTTATTTCGCAATATTATAATTTGATTTTTCCGACAGAAATCAGCTTTGTGGTAGTGAAGGTATGGAGATTCCTCTTGACGTTATAAATACAATTATCGGCAAATACAGTCAATTGGGCTGATCACTTACTTGATTATTATTCCTCTCTTAATTCGTTGATCTGGAAGAATAATTTGAGACTTTCCCTTGATACTTTCATTCAGAGGAGTGTAGATGGTCAGATCGCTTCATTTTAGAGCAGTAATACTGAGATAAGCAAGCTCCTTTCAAGTTGAGTTTGAGCAACGATCTACTTACTATAAAACAGTGCTCATCATGGATAAGACCGTTGGTAGGGAAGTAGACCGTTGCTCGTTTTGTACATCAAATCGATGGTGAATAAAAGAATCGCCTAGCATCGTTCTAAATAGACAAAGAAACCGATGATCAATACAGAATAATCGTCTAACATCGTTGTAGTAGTAAGTAGACAAAGAAATCGATGATCAATACAGAATAATCGTCTAACATCGTTGTAGTAAGTAGGCAAAGAAACTGATGGTGAATACAGAATTGCTTGAACATATAATCGATGAAACTAATGGTAAGAAGGAATTACAGTATTCTTCAGAATAACGAATGGAAGATATTAGAGAGAGCTTCTCATATCATTTCATTGAGAATATTTGAAGAATTTTTATAACGAATATTTCAATTATCGGATTATCGATAACTGATGCTATCTTCTCTCATCGATAATTATCGTTTGTGATGCTTTAAGACCTTCTGGTGTTCCAGGATTATGAATACCCTTCTCGTGATACCAAATGAAATTGCTCACTTTACCAGATTGTACTGTAATTGGCAATGATCGTTTTCGTGTAAGAATCGATTTCTGTGGCAATATTCGATGTTGAATTTTCGGTGAAATAGAGCGTGATTTATAAAGTCGTTGCTAAAAATGAATTAATCTTAACTAATTAAAAAAGAAGAAATCATTAATTAAATCCCTTTGTTAAAATAGATGAGATTTTATTGTTGTTTTTTGATGTGCAATATTCTAAATAACAATTGGATAGAAAAGATGAAATAATTTCATAGATGCAGATTTTAAAAAATTTTCCCTCTAAGCATTCAGTGTTTGCTTCAAACAGTGATCATCGATTATGATAATAATGACAGTTAAGATTGATCATTGAAAAGGTTTAAATTAGAGCAACTGTTATAATAACAGTGATGTTGGTATTGCAAAGAAAAGATTTTGCTGTTTAGGTTGGGTGCAAATTGTTACGAAGATGATGTTGGAAAAAAATCATAAATTGATTAACTGATGATGTGTGTATATGCCTATGTGTGTGTGTGTGTGTGTGTGTGTGTGTGTGTGTGTGTGTGTGTGTGTGTGTGTGTGTGTGTGTGTGTGTGTGTGTGTGTAAATGTAGTAACTGCGGCATTTCCCACATTTGCACAAGATATGCGGATAGGTTAAAAGGTCGAAAAAGGAAAAAGAGAGTAATGGAGAGAATAAGAGGGAGAGAGCGAGAGGAAGAAAAGGATGAAGAAATAAATTAAGAAAAATTTTCCCCTCATAGAAATACACATAAATTTATTATAACAGTTGTGGGATGATCATTGATGTGAATGAAAATTGTGTTAAGTGACAATAAAACATTAGCACTTTTTATTTTTTACTTTTTTCAAAAAATTTTTTTGTTGACAAAATAAAACAGGAAAACAATCGATTCAACTGACATCACGTTTAGGCACTGATAAATCTGATCGATCATCTTTTGATATTTCCATTTCCTTCGTTTCTGGAACACTGAAATTTTTGTAATTTTCTTTTAAGAAATTCTAAAATTAAATTTAGTTCATAGTTCATTAAAAAAAATACTAGCTTTTGCTCTACAAAATTAGTTTGAAACTTTAGATGGAATTGAAATATTTTTGTTCAATTATGAAAATTCTATTCTACGCTGAGAAATGTGGTATAATATGATAAATGGAAGCAAAAACCGTGTAGATGATGGAATTTGTTCTTCATTTTCCTCATTCGAAATTTTTCTCCTTTTACTTGATAATTCTCGATAATGTGCACGCTTTTCAATCGGATTTTCAATATGATGCTTTGAACTGAAAAATGGTTAGATAGAGTAATACCTTTTATGGTCATTTAGTAATATGATTAGAGTAATACCTTCTATGATCATTGTATTTTTATTTCACTGTCTTATAAAAATAGCATTATTTGCTTAATTATTTATATTATTAACGCTTTTCAACCGTATTTTCAATATGATGCATTGAACTGAAAAATGGTTAGATAGAGTAGTAATACCTTTTATGGTCATCTTATTTTTATTTCACTGTCTTATGAAAATAGCATTATTTGCTTAATTATGTATATTATTAACATACATACTTGTTTTGATTTATAATTATTCAATTATTGATTTAGTGGATTAAAATAATCTTAACAGTATTGAATGTAAAAATTTTTTAAGCGTGTAATAATTTGGATTGATTATTTTAGGATTAAATTCATTACATACCCAATATTTTCACGTTCCATTTTTCTCAATGGTTTTGCCATACAAATATGCAAACTTTCAGTGCGATTCGTTCGAATTTGATCTAATCGTCGAGCTATTTTTAGATACGAATCATCAGTTTGAATAACGAGATCCTGTAATTTGATAGGTAGGAAAAATTAACAACATTGTTGCTTATATCATTGATATATTCAAATAGTTGAAATATTATTTCAAATGGAATTTTAAGTTATTAAGGCATATAAACCTTATCAAAAGAATATTAATAATAGATCATAAAGGTTTAAATTCATATGTTATGATAGTACTGGAAATAATAAATCATCTATTTCTAACCTCTCGCTTTGGTTTAATCCATATTGGTGCAGAGACGCTTACATCATTCGTTTGTTCATTAACCGATGCTTTTGATATATCAAATTCTTTCTCAATTGATTTTTCCAAATTAAAATTATTCATATCAATTATCGTTTGCACAAATGTATCACACATGTCTTTTGTATCAAATGAATATTGCGTACTGTAATAAATCAATCAATATAAAAATCATAATTTTAGCAATCATTAATTTCCAAACAAAATATGAGATGCAATAAAGTGAATGAGATGAAGATGATCGAATTCGATCCGATAAATATATTGCAATCTCATAAAAAATTTCATGAAGCTTAGATAAATCGTTACACTCTGATCAGGCGATTTGATCAGACGTATGTGGTAAAACTCTGAGAGATCTTTTAGGATATGTATATTTGTTTATCTATTTCTAAAACAGAAGATTTGATAATAAGAAAAAAACAACAGGTTTGTTGCCATACATACATAAACAGACCTATTTTCAATTAAGAATGAATCGATGCAACCAGTCTTCTTTTTTTCTTTTGCTGATAATTCGGATGCTTGATGATCCTTAATTTCAACATTATAATAATTTGCAATAAACAAAATAAAATCCGTTTTTAATGTTTGGTAGGGATTTAGCAAATTTTATTCCAAAAATCATTACTTCATCATCATTATCAAATGTTGTCTGTACAGCACGACTGCATTCCGGTATCTGCGACATCCATGCATCTGTTTCCACGGATCGATTAAATACTTGATTGGTTTCTTCTTCTGTTATTTCAGTTGAAACGTCCTGTAGCTTACAGATTTGTTTTTTTCAAATTTTTGATATTTTTAAAATTATTCTTCAGTAACTTACAAATCGTATAGGTGTCCGATCATGATCGATTGATCGATTCTTAGTCAGTTGCGTCAAATTTTCATTTTCTTCTTTTACTACTGGAAGATTCATAGTTCCATCATCCAATGATGTTTCAATGCTACGGTCCATTAATTTTGGACGATTCTTGGCCTTAAAGTATTTAAAAAATAATTATCCATGGAAACCAATAATTCAGAGTTTCAATAATCGTCGTAGAATTACGACAATTATTGAAACATAACTACCATTTACATATAGGAACGAGGTTATTACCTGTAAGTCGTGTAATTTGAGCATAATTTCATCAACTTGAAATTGTGAAATATCCGTTTGTACAGCGCAACCGCTTAAAACACAATGCTCTATCTGTTGTTCCTGATCAGCTAAAGATATCCGTGCTTGAACACTACGATCAATAACTTCCGAGCTGAAATTTCATCCAAACTAATTGATTGATTTCATTAAATTCAACTGCAAAGTGATATAATTTATGCAAATTCGAGAGAAAATAATAAATAGATAACAAATTGAAGGATTATTCATTACAGATATGAGTTTTTCAAAGTTACTTTGTGAGATCCATCGGAAGTGATGTGATTTCAGAAATCGAATTTGCATCGTCATCAGCATGTGCTACAGGTGTTATCGAAAAGTTGTTCATTCTGCAAAAGCAAACTACTCATGTACTCCAAACTTTCAATGTTTCATCAATTGAAAAACTTCAATAGACGTTATTATCAAAGAATACATAAGTGATTCTAGAAAATCTAATTATCCCTTCAACAGGTTACTGAGATAACCTTAACGATATAATATTTAATTTTTAATAATTCTTAATTACAATACAGCACTCCTGCTGGATGAAGTAAGTGAACATGTTTTGAAGTTTCAACAAGAATTAAAATGGATTTTTCTAAAAGTCAAGAAGTTTTCCACGAATATTTAGAATTATGAAACTTCATAATCATTTCGAATTAAAAACACTGATAGAAACACTACCCAGCTTCTTCACTATTTTTCGGACTTATTTCCTTCTCATCGTATAGTTCTGTGAAATTCATAGTTGTACCCATATCCTAAAATAATTACATCATTATTATTTATGATATTTAATTATTGCATTTTTTCAATGAAACAAACTGAAAAATGACAAATGATAATTTAAAATTATCATAACAACACTAACTTGTAACTTTATAGGTGACTTAGATAACGAAGATTCATTGTTGAAAAATTTTTCTTCAGTTTGAATATTTTTATTATTTGACATTCTCACTGATCGTTCGTACGTTTCAGCCTATAATTATAGCTTATTATAATCGATTAATTATTCAGGTTGAATATTTTAAAATTTCGTCCTCAAATTTCTGCTCTCTACTTGTTGAAAGATGTATTCGTTGTTAAATGAAGTTCCAAAAAAGAAATCCAAATTTTATTATAAATCTTTAGTTTAAAATTCAAATAGTACCATCAGTTGAATTCATACTTTAAATTCAAATATGGCCTAATCAATCTTATTTAATCAATCTAAATTTGAGTTTTAAGTTTATTTCGTTAAGTAATTATAACTTTTGAAAATTACAACGAAAAAAAAATTAACCTGTTTATCAAGTTGAGCAGTTTGCTTCTCAGTAAGCAAATGTTGTGCCATATTTCGAACATACCATGGTTCTTTTGCCATTAAACGTTGTAGAATTTCGTTGCGCTTCACCGGATCTCCACAAGCCAAAGCACGCTGATATTCTTTCTAGAATGTTCCAAATTATAAAACTATAAGTAATGCAAAACTATTTCTCAAAATTTTTGCTTATAAAATTTACGGTCATTTTTTTTTCTAATTCATTCAAATAAATTAAAATTGAAGAAAGTACAGTAAGATATATAATTAAATATTAATTGATATTAATAATGATAAGGGGAACGTCTTCTTTTTTTTCTATCATCAAAATTTTTCATAATAAATTTTAAAAATTAATAAATAAAAATTTTCTTGTTATTTACTTGCATTCGTATCATCAAATTATAAAGCCATTCTTCAAATTTGATTTGTATTACACCGAGAAGCATTGAAACAATCGAAAGACCAATGATTACCAACCAAAACATCAATATCAACATGTGCGGATGATCTGGTACTACATCACCTGACGGAAATTTGAGATGATTCATGTATAGATATATCAGTACATGAATCATCTTAAATTTTCAGCAAATTTTATCATTGATCAAATAGATTAAGAATTTGTAAAAAGTTGAATGATTAAAAAAGCAAGAAACTTTTATGGAAAAATAATGATAATAAGTCAACTAAATGAATTGATATTGAAAAATAATATCTAACCAAGACCAATGGTAGATAATGAAATGAAGAAAAAATAAAGTGAAGTGAAATAGGACCAGCGTGTTTCCCAGAGGCAAAATAAACCCGCGCATATACATATCCAACTAATACAAATAAATAATGCAAGCCAAACTGGTATTGTCCTTAAATGAAATGAATTAATTTGCGAAAAAACAAAAAAAAACTGATCGGAAAATTAATTATAAGTAAGAGATTTAATTAATATATGAAATTGAATAATTGAAATAAGCTCTTCGGAAAAAATGTTCGATTTTTATTTACAATATAGCATAGATTCATTCTCGTCTTCCTACTACGACATTTCACCTTTTTTAAATTTAATTTCAATAAGGCTAAATAAAGAAAAAAAACTAAGCTATAAAGTATAGTAAAGGCAATTTTAATCTAATATGATATAATGGATAAAGCAGTTTTCACCTAATATGATATAATGGATTTTGAAAAAACTCCTCAAACCTGCTTTGAGTTATCTCATCGCCCACTTCATCAATTGTCTCTGATGGTGGATTATTGAGCAATCGATGATTTGACTCAGTATTACCAATCTCAACATCCAAAATATTCCTGACGAAAATTCGCCAAATTAATCATTTTTTTTTAAATAATTAAAACAATACCTTTATTATAAATGTAATTTTTTTTTTTGTTGATAATGAACCTGTATATTAGACTAAAATTGAAATATCGAATAATCTTAACAGAATGTCAAAGTTATACATTTGTGTAGTATCTAAAAGCACTTACTGCATATACATCCTTCTGCGATCCCTCAATTTTTGTCGTTGTTTAGCTATTGAAATGCGTTTCTCTTTCGTGTAACCTTTAATACACTCTCGATACCTATAATAAGACTTCTCGATAAACAAAAATATTTCAACTCATTCAATTTATACTAAAAGTTTTACTCATTAATTCATTATTACCTAAATTTGTTTTTAATATATTTAATATGTCAAAAGCATTGCTTAATGATTCGATAATATTGATGTAAATTATCAAAAGATGTATAACTTGTTTGTTTAAATTATATACATAAAATTTTAAATCAAGTTTCGTTTTTTTTTATAAACTTTCATTGTTCATTTATTTTTATGTAATTCAATAAATTTCTTTTCTGTTCCTAAAATTATCCATTTCTTTTGCATAAACAAAATAATAAAAAATAATTTGCAATTTTTACATTGTTCATTTATTTTAATGTAATTTAATGAATCTTTTTTCCGTTCCTAAAATTATCCATTCTTTTTTGTTCCTAAAATTATCCATTCTTTTTTGTTCCTAAAATTATCCATTCTTTTTTGTTCCTAAAATTATCCATTCTTTTCCGTTCCTAAAATTATCCATTCTTTTTTGTTCCTAAAATTATCCATTCTTTTTTGTTCCTAAAATTATCCATTCCTTTTGCATAAACAAAATAATAAAAAATAATTGCCAAATTTCCGTCCTGAAATTATTTTTTTATTTTCATAATAAAATTGCTAAAATAAAATTTTATTCACATGTTATATCCATTTCATTTGTTTTTGCACTCATAAATTGATCCATTTCATCAGATGTTTTAATTTCATTTTTCTTTTCTTTCCGCTCAGAAATACCCTTGCAAAAATTAGTCTTAATTAATTTATTTCAAATTTAGTGGAAACAGAAAATTTATGAGATTTCAAAATCAAATGCTATTTATTTCAAAATTTGCAATATTAAATATCATAAAATCAAATATCAAATAATTAATCATCTCATCATCTCTTTATTTTACTTTTTTTGAAAAGAAGAAATTTCTTTAAATCTTTTACAGTTATGATTAATTATTATGCATAGTATTTCGAGAGTGACTATAATAAAATATTTAAGCTTTTTGTTTGAACAAAAAAGATTTTCAATGAATTAAATGAAATGGAACAAAATGATGATGTATAGATTTAATTAGCAATTAACAAAACAAAAAATCAATTAAATGTTTAATTGACGGATGAAAAAATAATTCAATGCAAATATTTTGAAAATATTTACCTCATCCAAGCCTTGCTAACAAAAGCAGTAAGTGTTTTACCAAAATGGCTTAATATAGCCAATACAAGAGGTATACCGAAAATTGCATATACAATACTTAATACTTTACCACCAGATGTTCGAGGTACTATATTACCATAACCTGGAATGCGTGAAATAATTAAAGAATAAATTGAAAACTCGTATGGAAACTTTTTTTTAATGTAAATAACTGAGAGAGTAAAGATCGTTTTAGAAGGTCAAATGAAATACTATGACAGTAAGGATGTTTTTTTAAAAGATTAGGTACTATATTACCATAACCTGGAATGCATAAAATAATTAAAGGGTAAATTGAAAACTGGTATGGAAACTTTATGTAAATAGATGAGAGAGTGAAGATCGTTTTAGGTAATCAAATGAATTACTATGACAATAAGGATGTTTTTTAAAAGATTAAATGAATAATTACTATTGTGGAAATAACATTAGACTAACCGATAGTGGTAAAAATAGTGCCAACATAAAAGAGAGCTCCCCACATATCCCATTCTAAACCTTCGGGCATTTTTAATTTTGTTAATTGATTTTCATACCACAGCAATATTTTTCTGTAAAGAAATCTTATTACGATTGATTCGTATTTTCATTAGCGTATAAAAATGGTTCATATTTATTGGTACTAATGTTGTTTTATCTAGTTTCATCTATATCAAAGTAATCATTTAAATTTTATGCCAAAATTTTACGACAAAAATTAAAAAAGAAGATGTAGAAATAAATATTGAGAGAATTTAAAGTTAAATGTAGTTGTTTTGAATAAAATATATTACTTTGAATTAGCCAAATTTGCAGATACATCGGAATTTTTGCTCCGGAAAACTTTCCTTAACAGCTGAAATGTATCATTCCTTAGATCATCAAGTATAATTTTTTCTTTCCTGAAAATTTAAAAAATTCTGGAAAATTTATAATAACATTTATTGTGCAATAATTGCTTGTTTTTAATACCATTTGATACTACAATAATTAATACTATTAATTTGATGTTGCAATAATTAATACTATTTATTAACTTATTCCTTTCTTCTTTCTAAAATGCATTCATATAAAAAATCACTCTGTTCAACATTTAAGTGCAACTGTAAAGCTAACTTTATCTATCAAATAAGCTGGCAATTATTTTAAAAGTTACGAGAAAATTATCGTTCAAAAAAAAATACAAACCTGATAAGTTCCTGTTCATGCTCTCGTTCCACCCAACAGAACAATGTTGCGCCCAATAATGAATATATTGTCAACAAAAAAAATGGTGCTAAATGTCGTAACTTATATTTGTCGTAATAATATTTCACCTGAAAATTCATAACTCATGACAGAACATCATAGCATATGGAAAGCGGAAAAAGCGCATTTTGATCATTTTGCGCCAAATAATCCTCGAGTGCGAAAAAGAACAAAAATGATATGAAATATAGAAAAATCACTTTTTTTAATATTTTCCAATGATGATAATCTCTTGAAAAATTTTTCTTGAATTTTAATTAGATATAGAGCTACTAATATTCTAATGAAGACAAAAAAAGAACACTTCTGAAATTCAACATTTTTTGAATATCTTCAAAAACTTTTAAAACTACTAAACTTCCAACTTCCACCTATTTGAAACCCCAAAACATCAAAATTTGATTCATTGAATACTTTCATCATGCGCTCAGTAACATTTGAAAGTAACAACCTGTCCAAGAAAATCTTTCGGTTTCTGTTTTTGCAAATGTATTTTCTCCTCACCTGTTCGATGTACCTGAAATATATTTATTGAAATTTTAACATAAAATTCTTTCATTGGTATTTTGGATAAACTTTGATATTAAATTAAGTTCATTTTTATGAGTCAAGTAATTTATAAATATAAATTGCTTGCACTCAAAATTTGATAAAATCAATTTTCCGAATCACTCAAAAATGCTGCGAAATGAATAGAGAATTTTGATAATGGACTGCATAAATTTCTAACAACAATTTTGAACAAATTAATTAAGCGATAAAGTTTGGTTAAAATTTGTAACAGAGAGTCATTGGATCAAAGGTTAAACTGTTTTAACTTATTGTGATTTGCAGAGAATTATTTCTCATTGGGTCAAAGGTTAAACTGTTTTAATTTATTGTGATTTATAGAGAATTATTTCTCATTTGTTTCATTCCAGCCTTTCTATTTTCGAACTATAAAGTACATGATGCGGCAAATTCGATTTGAAAAATGCAATATTTCTGCACAATTCTAATTACAGCAAAATGCAAAAGTAAAAATTTTGAAATGAATAAAAATTTGTACTAAAATTTTCTTAGATCTTTTAAGTCAATAAAACTTGGAGCGAAAAATTTTTGGAAACAAACTGTTGAAATGTAAAAATTGCTAATTAGTTAACATATGAGTTAACATATAGCAAGAGATTAAGATAAGATAATGAGAAAAAAGAAGATGAAACATTATATTTGGTGAAGGATAATTTCAAATTACCCATTATAAAGTGTTAATCTCATTATAATTTCTGGCATTGATGAATTGTAATTAGTCAAATTATTGGAAATCATATAATAATTTCTAAATTACTGATTTCTTTTGTTTTTCAAAAATTGTCACATCAACATAATAGAACCAATTGTAGATTATTTTTGACCATTTAAATCAAACCGAAAGAAAATCAAATTCCAAAAAACCAGCAGAATTTCAATTTCAATTTTATGATGTAAAAGAAATCAAAATTAAATTTGCTCCACAGTTGGAAAAGTTCCAAAGAATTGAAATTTTATTAAAAGTTAGCTTTAAAAAATAAATCAACAAAAGTATTCGATATCAACCACGATATGATTGATTGCGTTAAATATTATTTTGTTTTTTTTGAACTAACTTATCAGTTCTAAAGATTAAGAATTACGCAAACAAAAGATTTCATATTAGATTTTAGGCTGTTTTGCAACGATCAAATTTCTTGTTTTTGCAGAAAGAAATTGCTTATTCATGCTTCATTCAATTTTGCACAACTTTTTCTGATTTCATTATAATCATCAAATATTTCTGCAAATTAATTTTGCTTTCTTTCTTTTTTTTTTTTTTTAACAACGATAAATTATTTTCCTGAAATTGAAAAACAATATTTAAAGTTTAATTTCATATATGGTTACTTTTTTCTGCTATTTATTTCCAGTTCATTTCAATTACCTGTCGTTTGCTTATAATTCTTTTTAAAAAAAAAATACCTTATATCAGTTGATTATCTTATGATATCTTATTGATATGATAGTTTATTATCTTATGATATATGATATCTTACGATATCAATGCAAGTGAAATTTTTCTAAGCAAATAAATTTGGCCAGAAATAATCAATATTACTTATTAGCCTTTCGAAAAAACTTTCCTATGTTTTCCTAAATTTTCTACCTATCATTCTTATATTGAAGAAGTACTTCTCAAAATATGAAAATTTATCATCTCTACCAAGGTTAAGTTAATAAACTTTTAAGAGAGAGAGAGGGAGAGAGAGAGAGAGAGAAAAAGAGCAATTTCACTGTGAAAATAATGGCTATGAACTCTTCGTTTTAACGTCAGATAGTTAGATAGATGCTTCGAATATTTATGCTGTCCAGTAGTGTTGAAAATAACAGAATGAAGTGTAATCAATAACTGATAATTCCTTATCATTTCAGATAAATAAAAAATTTAGCGATGAAAAATCTATGATAAATTCACTTATAACATACATTTTTTTTTTTTAATAAATATTTACTAATAATATTTCTGAAATTAAATGAAACAAGTGTTTACTGCTCAAATGAAATCATTGTATCTTCTATAGCCTTAGAACTCTAACAACTGACCTGATCATCAATCTCGATAAAATTATTTACATTATCATCCAAGGTACCCAGTTGAGAATGTCGTGAACTATCAGATGATGAACGTGAAAAATGGGACAGATACCTGCAATAACAAATTTTATTTAAAATATTTATGAATATTCAATATTGATTTGTTTCAAAATATTTTTCAGCGCGAAAATCATTTGATAAAATAAGACGACAATAAATTAACTTTACCATAGAAACAACAACTATCAATGTTATGGAAAATTGAGCCATGAAAGAATTATTAATTTTCAAATATCAGCAATTTCAAAAATGAACATTTTGAAAATGTAAAAGAAAATCCAGTATTGAGAAAAAAATTGTTAATATTGAAAATCTTTAAAATCATGAATAGGAAAGATAATTAATTGACTGAAACATCAGAAGTGTTCAATTTCGAAAAGTACAAAATATGCTGATAATGAGTGATAATTTAAAGATAACTCGTAAAATACAGAACTCGTCAGCTAATGTTTAAAATTATAATGTATATGGATGGATAGCAGATAGCTCAAAGATCTGATTTGTTCTCTTAACTTGTAATGTCAAAGAGACTTAAATGTAAAAATCTAAATGATGAAATTTTCCTAATTTGTCGTAAAATTTCAACACTTGCATTTTTTGTAAAAAAGTTTCAATTATTTTCTTTTTATACAACAAAATTCATTCAGACTTTTAATAGTAATTGAAAAAATAATAATTAACAATGGGGAGAAAAAACAATAGCTTTCAGTAGTAATTGAAAAAATAATAATTAATAATGAAAAGAAAAACAATAACTAATAGTTATATTTTCTCCTTTGAATATATTTTTTTCAGTTTTGAATTTTTATACCAAATTAAAAATAGTCTTTTTTTGCTGAAGAAATAATTATAATAAATGAGTGAACAATGCGTTTGTTCGTTTCAAAAATTGATGACACTTTTGAAAATTGTTAACGCAAAAAATACGAAAGTGATTGAAAGTAACAGAAGAATATATAACAAAAAACATGTACGCTTCATCATTTCTCCGATATGTCAATTTTAATTATAACTTATACCAATGAAAAGAATAACTCTGGGAGGTCTAGAATGATCTTAGAAGTAATGAATGATATAGATTAATGTTATGGGAAGAGATATGTGGTATTGATATTATTAAGAAGAGATATTTGATATGATCAATGATTATATGATTACACTTGGTAATAATATTGCATGCAATCATTGGTGTCATACTTAATTTGCCATTAGAATAATGATAGAAAAGAATATTGGAAATCTTAGAACACTTATCAATCACTTACCAAGCATTATCATAACGGCTAATCAATGTATCATCGCTAGTATCCATTAGCATTGATGAAGGATGACGTGCTTGACGCCGCGATTCGTTTCGCACAAATACCGCCATTGTTAATTAAACCTGAAAAATTTTTCAGGTTCAATTAATTACCTGAAACCTGAACAATTGTATTTTAATTGTACTCTAGTTTTTTTGATTTCTATTTTAATAGCATTAATTATCCCCTATTCATCGACAACCAATCTAGGTTTCATTGCTTTGTTATTACAGGCTATAAAATCTACAAAATTTCAAAATTACTGGAATTAAAAAGAATATTTTTAATATTAAGAAAATTGAAAAAAGAAGCATCCAAAATATTTGATGATCTAAAATGAACGAAACAAGAAGTATCCTCAATTACTTGTATACAAAATTTTTCTCACCAAAAAAATAATTTCGTAAATTTTAAATACTTCGAAATATTGATTGGATTAATTTTTAAATCTTTCAAATTAAAAAACTTCTTATGATAAATTTTCAAATTCGAAACTCGAATTTTTTCATCACTAAGAAAAATGAAAAAGAAAAATTAAGAAATACAGAGATAAATTACTTATTAAAATAATGGATATTATTCAATAAAAAGAATTTTAAAAATTACAATGAGATTTAATAAATAGTATTTTACATTTCCTTCGGTATAAATTTAAAACTTTTCTGCAATAATTAATTCAATATCATTATCATCAACATTATCAATATCATTATCAATCAAAATCATTCAATCATTTCCTACGATATATTAGATGTAATGGAAAAAAAGAACGTTTTATTATATGAATGTAAACAATGATCTGTTATTTTATTAATCTCTATATTAATCCATATTAATTATTAATCTCTATATTAATTAATTATAGTAATTATAAGTGCAATTAAAAAAATTTCTTTTTTGTTTAACACATTGATCAAATGTTACCTTTATATTTCTTGATGATGCAAAAAAAGCTGTTTTGATAATTTCCAATTCACAACATTTCATCAACTCTGCAAATAACAAATTGAAAAAGTTCCAAGGTTCTTCCCCAGAATTGAAAAAGAAAAATGGATTGAAAAAAGAATTAGCAAAAATATCAGATTGCTCAATGAAATTGAAAGAGAAAGAGAGAGAGAGAGAAAGAGTTAAAAAGTAAAAGCCATCCCCACATCGGCGATATTTTCAAAAAGAAGAAGACAATGAAAATGTTTTAAGATACGAGCGATAAGACGGACGTTTGTATAAACTTTCAACAAATGATTTATTCATCCTAGAATTGAGGTATGCATCAGTTAGTTAGTTTCGATTCGGGAAATATTTAAAAGTATAACAACAAGAAAAGAACTTTTCTCTCCTTTTAACTTCCTGACAGATTAAAAAGTAAGCAAATGAAGACAGAAAAATTTGTTCAAACAACTAAGAACTATGCTTGTTAAAGTTTTTTTTTAAAGTATGAACGAAACAATGTTGTTAGTTGCAAATTATTTAACATCTATTCTTTCCTTTTCACTTTTAACTTAAATTACAAATTATTTAACATCTACCTTTCTTTTTTCTCTTTTGTTTCTATCTATCATTTTCACTTACATTTCCTTTCTTTCTTTCTTTCTTTTTGTTTTTTTGTAAATCAGTTAACTGGCGTATAATTTAACATTATATTAATTAATTTACACGTATACCTTTTTTCCTCTTTTGTTTCTATCTATCATTTTCACTTACATTTTCTTTCTTTCTTTTTGTATTTGTAAATCATTGATTAGCGTATATTTCAAAATTATATTAATTAATTTACAGGTATACCTTTTTTTTCTCTTTTATTTCTATATGTCATTTTCGCTTACATTTTCTTTCTTTCTTTCTTTTTGTTTTTCGTAAATCATTGATTAGCGTATATTTCAAAATTATATTAATTAATTAATTAATTAAGAGGTAAAAATTAAATGAAGAAAACAAAACAAAGAAAAAATTTTTAATTTAGAAATACGAATAAATAAAATTTATAAAATGAAATTGGAAAAGATATACTACTAAAGAATGTTTCGTTGAAAGAAATAATTTATTTTTCTCTCTTATCTATTTGTATATTCTTTTCCACCTGTAGTTATTTCCACTTTTGTTTTCTAATTTTGACCATCGATAATAAAAATTTAAAAACAAATGGATGAATATTTTTCTTAAGATTTGAAAAACTTTTTTTTCTGATTACTTTTAATATAACTATACATAACTTATAACATAACTTTTCCCCTAAATCATACATACGGTGATCATTTTGTTATGTTATATCACTTAGTACTATTTTACATTACCTTATTGAGATAGAATGGGAAATGTTATTGAAAGATGCAAATAGAAAAGAGATGATGATATGATTAGTCGATCATAAGAAGAGATTCAGAATATTGACATATTATGCATTGATTAAATTTAAGCCATTTCACATAGAGTAGATTATCAGGAGTGTAATCATTGTAAATGTATTGCATTGAATATTTATCGGCGGGTTTTGATAATTTTAATTTAAGGTATATCAGATTTTAGTGTAAGATATCGTATTTTAGTATCGAATTATATGTGACACGTGACAAACAATAATAATTGTGCTATTGGTGTATATATAGTTAGCATATGAGAAAAATATTGTTCATTATATTCCAATTATGAATTCAAAAATATTTTCAAAATAACTAAAATATATTTTTTTATTTTTCAAAATTCTAGTTTGCCTTAAAATTTCACTTACCTGGAAGGTCAAAATTTGCTCGGAAAAAAAGAAATGATTTGAAAACAACTAATTTTGATTTCATAAACAAAACTAAAAGGAACAATGAAAAATTATCTCATTCATTTATCGATCAATCTGATCAATGGAATGAGATATTTTTATATTCTACAAAATAGCACAATCCTACAACACAATCAAAAGCAATACAGAGTTTTATATTTCAAAAATAAAGAGTAAAAAAATAATTTTAAATCAACAAATTTCAATTCGTTGGATTTCGACAAGATTATTTTAAACTTTAGATACTCGTTTCGAATTTTGCTAGTATTATTTGTTAGTAAAATTAAGACAAATGTTAGCCAATCCACTCAGTCCAGATGACATTTTCATAGCGGTTAAAGAGGTGGAAGAATAAGCAAAGCCAATTGATAGCTGACCAACCATCAAAATGTAAGGGGAAGTTTGATTTAATACTAGAACGCTGATTTGAAGTGAACATTGCTTCTTTACACAAACCTTAAAGCATCCTTTAAATTATCTTTTATTGTGCTACTTTAACTTACTATCTTAATTACCCATCATATTTCAAGACAATATAGCCTTAGTAAACGCATAAATTTCTTAGACCATCTTCCCATTCAGTAACATCATAATGATTTTCAAAATCTTTAAGTTACAATAACAACCTACGAATGTATCTGATAATCTAAGTTATATTTCCGAAATATAATAAATGTATTTAATAGTGTTAAATCAACTTTCACATTTCAACTTTAAAAATTCCATAGTCTTGTTTCCGTGTTTTGAAACAGCTAAGTTGAAATAATCCTTCCAAATATTCATATTTCAGTAGCAATTTGTGAAGTAATGGTAAGGTGGTTATTATCTTGAATGTTTAGCGGAATCAATCATTTTAGAATTTCGCTTCTAATTGTACTGTCATTTTTGCAACGTTCATGTTCCACTTGTATTTATTGAGTTCTTTCTCCGAGAGAATAATCTTTCATTAGATTCATTCACTAAATAAATTGTTTACTTCTTTAGAATAATGTCGAAAAGTTAGAAATAACAATGCTTTAATGTCAAGCATTCTAGAAATGCTAAAACAGGAGTGAAAGATAACGCACCCTCGTTCATTTGGATGTTAATAATATGTTTCAGGACTAGCTATATATCTGATGGAATGTATTGAAATATTGAAAGGAAGTAAATTTTATATATGTTATAACAGTATTTATATCAAAGGGTAATCAAAACGATATAAATCAATCACAAGTTTCAATATGGTTTAAAGCGACATCTCTCTCATTTCACATAAAAAATTGTACTTTCAACGTAATCTAAAAGCAAATTTGCTTTTTAGTGTTACCTATTGCGACACTTCGTTTTACAAATTTTGTCTGGCAAAAAAACAAACTTTTTTAAGAATTCCCAACAAGTTAAATAGTTTACTTTTTGGCGAAGTATTTAACTGGATTTCCTATACATAAATGCAATGCTAGATGACATTAACCATATCAGAGGATTAAGATAATAGAGCCTAAAAAGAAGCAAAACACGGAAAAAAGAGGAGTGCCTTAAAGAATGAAGTGATATCAAATTGTTGGTATGTCGGTGTTTACGTTTACTATCATGTTTTAAAATGTCGCTATTTTAAATAAGCAATTTTTAAAGTTCCCTACACTGATGTACATCATCAGTGTAGGGAATTTTAACTGGTGATAACAAGATGCTGAAAACAAAGCTGTGAATTCTCACTCACCAGTTATTGACTGTAAAATACGATATTAATCTACAATTATATAAAATACAAAAAGACAAAACCTAAAGAAAGAGAACAAGATGCTGAAAACAAAGCTCATCAGATTAAGACGCAAAAAACAGAAAGATTTACTGTTGTAAACCCACACATAAATCCACTTCTTGAAATAGATAGTAAAACTTAATTGTCAATAAAACAAAGTGGCTTCAAACATTGGAAATTCAGTTGCTTTCCTAAACTTAAGATACGCTTCAAAGTAATATTTTCAGCTTCTTATTGGAATCGAGATTAAAGCTCGCTTTACACTTCTTACATCGGGGTAATAGCGTTGCCATTTAACTGAAGCTTGTGCTACTGTTGCTGCCGAATGATGTGCGCATACTATAATAACGAGAAGTATTGTTGAACGTTTTTTTACTCGAATTAAGTGTTGAATTAGCTGTTCGAATACGGGCAATGTGCTTAGCAATAGCTCCTTGTTCACGCTTTGGTGTTTCATCTTTGGAATCGACAGTATTCATTGAGTCATTACTACCTGTAGACAAATTTAGTAGGATTTGTTGTTCCACCTTACGCACTTTAGTTTTTACGGCGCTATTCATCATTGTCATTCGATGTCGGCTTTCTAAAAGAGTAACATTTTCGACCTTTTTTATATGTTTTGCACTCACTAAAAATAATTCCCACCAAGTAATAACGACATCTTGATATTTATAATTCACTAGTATCCGTCACAATTAAAAAGTCCATTGAGTCATTCAAAGAAAAGCATTCTCCTAGTGATAAAGAAACAGCAAGTCCAACTTGCTTCTATATGAGTCTTTCACAGTGGCTTATGACGCCATCCATGCTTTAAATTCCCTATCCATAGTCAATCAACTTACAGGAGAACCAGAAAATGATAAAACATAATAAGGCAATTCTGCAAAATATTAGATATTCACAAAAAAGTAAAGGACAGAAAGAAAAAAATTTTAATATCAGAATAAAAAACATACCACTACCAGGTTTCACACACAATGGAGTACTGGCTACTAACGAAGTACAGCAAAAATGTTGAACGGGACTACTACTTTCATCAAAGTGATTATTAATTATTCGTTGATTCTTTCCTTCACCACTTGGACTCTTGCTATTGCCAATGCTGACAGTCTCGGTAACATTTCGTAGACTGAAATTTTCTTCCCCAGCACTTGTATTCCTGATATTGCTAGTGCTAACAGTTTCGGTAACATTTCGTAGACTGAGATTTTCTTCCCCAGCACTTGTATGAGATTTCGAAGTCTCCGTCAAAGCAGATAACCTTGGAATTGTGCCGTTCATATGCCGGTACTTCAGTGAAGAAGCAAAATCAATAGAACTATTATAACTTTTCTCCAATTTTTCCTTAGATTTAGGTTTTGGAGTATGCTGAAAATGATTTAAAAGAGTTTCCTCAAAATTAGAACCTGACGAAATGCTCATATCATTTACTTGATATTGCTTGCTTGACTGATTCTTCTCATCACTTCTTTTATAATGAAATTGCGGTTTTTCATTATCCGCATTAGATTCTATTTTGCTAGCATTATCACTACTATCCTTGGTCGGTCCTGGCAGTTTATGTGGATCAGCTAGATAAACACAAGCGTCGGATACTGCTTCTGCATTGGAAAAGTCAAGTTGCAACACTTCTAACTGACGACAAATTTCTGAAGCAAAGGAAGGAAATCTGAATAAGTTTAAAAGAGATAAAGTGAGAAATGCTACTTCTCTGATTATACATACTTAGAAGGTGATTCAGATAGTCGAGAGCTTATATAACAATGCTTTGTAAGCAAAATTAAAGTAATATTATGAAAAGCGCCATTCTATAAGTATGGAATATTATGGTGATATATAAATAGAAATGGATCGAATAAACATCCAAGAAAGTATAAGTTAATCTAAAGCTTCAAACAGTAAATAAAATATACATTGCAAAGAAGGTAAAAATGCGAACGTCTCAAGTAATGTCACCCTTTTCCTTTCTAGAGTAAATAATAAGTTGTGCTCCATCAATTAATCAAAAACTTACCATTGAAGTGTTTTGTTTCTTTTTTTGGAGCGCCAAAATTGAAGGCAAAACGGATTAACTGGAAGAAACCATGGAACATAGTTGGAATCATTTCTGCAGTGGTAGGTGGTTTGTATGCTTAACAATATATTTCGGGAGACGCCGATCACGAGAGATATCGCCTGGAATATAAAAAACGTGGCTCTTATTTGATAATTAGTTTTTGAATAATACGCACCAACAGGCCAGTCGAATGGAAGTAATAGCGTGTACATAGCCCCTTCCTAGGCCTCTTCCTAATAGGTCAAACATGCAGATGAGAATAATGATATTGCAGAAACATGCTTGAGTGATATATAACCATCTCAACAAAGAGTCGGCTAGACTGTAGAACAAAACACCCAACAAAGATCAAAGGACATTTCTCAAATTCGGAAACGATTTTTTTCAAAAAATAACTTCGCGCTATTTTTATAAACTTCAATCATTCAAAGGACACAAAAAGTCAGACCATAGGTAAGCTAATAGATTACATGTTTCAATTTGGATAGTGTTTTTGATGACGAGGACAGGTGAGACGACAGGAGTAAAATCCGAGGTTTTCAAACGAATTCCTCATTCTCTTATATGGTAAATACACTCATCGAACACATCACCATAGGTCAAACTCAGAACACCAAACATCCTGCATGCGACCGCTATCGTTCATCTTTAGTTCGAAAAATGATCGTGAAAGTCCATCCTGTCCAACTTTGTTGGTCCAAACGTTATTTGAATATCAAAATACTATGCGCTCTTACACATGTTATCCAGCCTATTAAGATTCGAGAGCATGATCTTCATATGTAGTTTCAGACTTATCATGAAACAAGGCATTTCAGAATCAATGAACAAAATTACGTCGCTTGCAGTCCCATCTTTACTTCACATAAGACTACTGTTTGGAAGCGAATTGAACATAGTTTCGTGGACGATCGTTCACTTATTCAGCAAGACGTTGGTGTACACTAATGAGAGCATAAAACAAGTGTTAAAGGACAAAAATTTTTTAAAAATTTATTAATAAACCACAAGTAACTCTTTTTGTGAAAAGTTTTTTTGTCAATTTTACATCTTTTCAATAGTTTTCAATCCCAATATCTTGAAGCAGTCAGCCATTACAGCGGCTGTCACCTTGCACAGCACTAGCCGCTGATAATGAATCGTCGTTTTTCCTTAAAGAAAGAGAATTGAATTGACATATATGTAATGAGCATGATTATAAATGTGCTTTAACATAAGTTTTTTCATCTCTCCTTCGGCTAATTGCATTTCTTTTAAAAATATCCATAACAAAATACGTTTATTAAAACAATGATAACTTAAAGTAACAAGAAATAATATCGTAAATTGGATCATCGGCTTTATGACGCTTTTTTGCTACTTAACAAACGAATAAGTTTGAACATCTTCCTATTTTATGAATTAGAACCCTACTATCAGCAATATTGTATGCTGTACGAAATAATATGGCTAATGAGAGCAAAAAAAAGAACATACCATCAAGATCTTTCTGAATTACGTAACACTCATTGTAAAAGTCGTGGAATATTGTTGCAAGAGAGTAGACATAGATGCAGAGCTGGAAAATTCAAGTAGTCAAATTATGAGGTCAAACCACATAGAAAACTTCACAGAAAAATTCCAAACTTGTTTTCCCGAGATGTCTAAATAACATGAAATAAATGAGAAATTAAAGATGTGCCATTTTTTTCAGTGGCAAAGAAACTCACTTGATGCAAGAGAAAATTATCCAAAATATTCAAGATGCAATCAGTAAATTTCAGGATTGTTTTTGCTAATTTAAACTCCGATTTATGTTCTAGCGGAAGAACTCCATCAGGCAAACTGCTCACATAGTTCTGAATATCCTCCTCAGAAACTCCAGTGTTGCGACATATTGATCTAGAAAATCAAATAGACAACAGAAAGAAAAAGAAAACCTCAGGCTTCATTGATTTCAGCTCTTTTTAGACTACTCCCAGAAAACTGATATTTTAACCAAAATTAACAAATTCAAAGCAAGTATAGAACAGCGTTTTCTTTAAAAAGTGAAACCAAATGAAATAAAAATGAAATAAAATAAGCTTACTTTATTCTAGCAAAGGCGTAGAGAAGATAAACAGCAGTATTGCCTCGGTCATCCAACATCTAGAATAATATTTTTCATTACCAATCCTTAAACATTATCTTTGACCGGGCGAATGGTCATTAATAAGAAACAAAAACTACAAAATTTTAAATTCCAGGAGTGAACTGTACCCGATCAAATGAGAAGACATAATCCTGCGTACGAGTTTGCGACAAATCGGCATATTTCACACAACCATATGCGACAGCATCACGGGCTAATGCCAACTCTTCCGAAATCATAATCTTTAAGGAACATGATGACTGGAAGTTGAAAAAGTACTTTTCTAGGATGGAAACTCAAATGTTCTGAGAATGCGACGAATTTAATATTCGAAAAATGAAGATTTTAAAACTGACAAACCTCATCTCGCCTTTTTTCTTGTAATTTTATTTCTGCTCGCTTCACACCCTCATCAAGCAGATCTGATAATCGAACTGTATCACCTGACCGCGTTTTAAATTTTTTTCTGGAATTGCAGTAAGTCGCATTTAAGTTTTTAAGGCATTCATTCTTTATTCGAATGCTCAAATGACGCCGTCAATTATTTGAGCATTTGCTCTGTGACTTTGGAGTATAACTGTACAAAGAACTAAATTCAAAATAATTGCAAAATTCTTGTTTCAATAAAGAAATGAACTCATTTTCAAACGAATAACATTTAAGCTGTAGGAGACCATTGTTCATGAAAAGAATTTTTAGAATTCATAATCTTCAAACTCACTTGTCTTCACTCAAAACTAGACCAAAACCGACAAATTCGACACGTTTTTCAGTCGGTGAATACCAACCAAGTTTCTGACCGGCAGCATATAGTAGCTAAAAGTTGATCAAACTATGGTTGCTCCAATCATTCGAATAATTAACCAATGAATTATGCAATTAAATGAGCTTCACAGTTACTAAAATTCAAACAATTCAGAATAAATATTGAAACTGCTATAATATTGACTTCAAAATGTAGACTCTGTCCAGCATCAACAACATAAATAATCCAATCAGCTTTATCGACAAACAAGCGATATTTCAGAGCTGCCAGATCAGATGTGTCGTATGTAAAACCACCATCTGATTTGACGACAGTGAGTGGGATTTCTTCACCAAATCTTAAAATCTTTCTCCCTTCATCAAGCTGCAAAACACCTGAAATAACTTAGTGAGTAATTGGAGATCAGAATTTTATGCCTATAAATATTAGTGATAGTGAATAAAATATTTTATTGATGGTTGGTTTCATAATCGAGTTCTTTCACAGATCTCTGAGCTATACGACAATAATATCTATTACAGAACATCGAAATACTTGTTTAAACGTAAAAGGGATCACCCAATTTGTCGAGTTCCCCAACGAGTTCAACCATATATTTCTGATAGAATGATTCGCCTCGTTCAACAATAGATATATCCAATCGATCGTAAATTTGATTGAAATCTTTCCGTGAAACATCGCAGATCATTTGCCACGCTTTCACGAAATATGGGTCGAAACTTTGCAGCTTAGTAACGCATTGATAAGAGCGGGCTTTGAATGCTTCATCTTCGTCAAAACGCTTCTTCGATTCCTAAAATGCACTTGCAAGTTGAAATCAACCCAAAAATGGAATAACATTACCAATTTACAGAATTTAGCTCGAGAATCCATAAAACTTCGAAATATTAAAAATTTTAACCTTATAGAAAGCCTGCAAATCTGAAATTGGAGGTACTTCATTGATGAAATTTGGAAAACGGTCTTGCAAATGAGCAATTAGCATGCCAAACTGCGTACCCCAATCGCCAACGTGATTTAAACGAAGAACCTTTAAAATATTGCATTTTTTAATGTGAAAATGCTCGAATTTTAAACTGTAAAATCAGAATTTCGATTAATCACAACAGATTTTTCGACTTTTGCCACAAAATCCGTAATACTGATTCGATTAATTCAAACATTTATTCCTTCGATTGTAATTACTTGATTTCCAAATCGATTAAATAAATCAAAAAAAAAAACAAAAAACGAAGCTTTAGACAGTATAAGACTTACAACTCAAAATAAAGGATAGAAATGTTAACTAACATCGAAACCAACATAGGTGAGCAAATGAGCAATACTGTCGCCTATAATTGTGGATCTTAAATGACCCACGTGCATCTGTTTCGCGATATTCGGAGACGAAAAATCAACTACAACACGACGTTTTTCAATTACTGGAGTTTCAATACCCTGAAAGTTTTTGAATGAACCCATATTTCAATTTCATATCCTAAATAATAGTAAGAATAAATACCTTTATCATGATATTTGCAATGCTTGCGCCAATCCAGCTCCTATTCAAAAATATGTTGATGTAACCGGGTCCAGCAACTTCCATCTAAAAATATGGACTAATATACTCTAGATCAACTAACAATTATCAATTTACATACCTTCTCAATTCGATCACACTTCGGCAGGTTGTCAAGGATTTTTCGTGCAACTTCCTGAGGAGAAACCTTTTGACCATTTTGTTCTAACTTCTAAAACAAACTGTTAGAAAGTATTACAGAATTAAACATCATACTAATTTTCGAAAAAAAAACAACTATAGAGAAATACTACAAACCTTAGCAATGGACATCGACGAATTGAACTGATAGTCACCAAACTTAACTTGCTGAGTTTCTGTTATCAAAATAGGAATAGCAGACATTTCTGGATATAGCTGAAATTTTATTTCATCGTTTATGAGGGAAAATAACGTAAAATGAGAACGTCCTTATTTATACGTAGAACATATTAATATTTTAGGTTTATCTACAGCCTAAAGTTTTAAAAAAGCAAAAATTAGGCTGTTTGTGACACTACTTACCTTGGAAACACTATCTGAAAATAAGGCGCGCAACATATGTAGCAACGAATTTCCAAAATCCTTCACAATAACATAATTGCACTTTTTGGTTTCCGTGGAGGGTTTTCTGTATATAAATTTGGTGGATTGAAGCATAGATGTCTATATGAAATGAAGACAGCAGAAATGGGAAGAAAAAGAAACAAATGTGCCGATTTGCATAGAAAGATAAAATTTCTGCTTATAAGGTAAATGATCTGTTTTCTGAATTTATCATAACGACAACTTATCAAAATTCATAAAAACTTGAAAAAAATAGACAATTTATGAGTTACTTATTTCCAGTCGATTTTTCACTACCATTTTCTGATAGCTTTTCCGTTTTCGACTTCTTTTCCATAGGTGCTTCAGTACTAATATTTTTAATACCGTTTTTCTTATTCAACTGTTCCTGTTCACGTATGCTCTAAAATTAACATAATTCATTTATGCTTAAAGTATCATTTGAAAAAAAATGTGCGATATTTCCTTTCTGAAAACCTCTAACTAATTCACTTTATTGAGAGGCATGACAAAATATCACCACACAGGAACTCTGCAGTGCTCCTTCAAGTTCAATTCAGTTGATTAGAGTCAGATTTATGCAAAAATTAATTTAAAGATGAAATTTATTTAAAAATGAAACCTGGCCTTTTCCATTAATAAGTTAAATTTATCTTAAAACAAAAAATTCCGCGTGACTGAGAAAATAATTTCCTTTCCCATGACACGCTTTCTTTAGTGAGATAGGAAAACAGAGTTCAAACAATATTGCTACTCACCGCCTGAAGGATCTCGACGTTATACTTGAGCTTAGCATTTTCCGTTATAACTTTTGACAAATTAGGGCAGTGTTCCAGCACGGCATCATTCACATCTCCTTTTTCCATGGCTTCTAACAAATTTTGATATGTTATAAGTTTGTTGGCCTAAAATGAATATTAAGCATCTACTTGAATAAAACAATTTTCTATGAAAACCCCACATTATTCAGCGGCACCAGCACCTCACGCCTTCCTTTTCTCATATTCCTCACATTACCAGATGAATGACAAAACGCTAATCAAGTCCATTTTTTCTTCAACAATAAGTCAACTTGATCGATAGTTTGTTATAAATCTGTGCCACTAATTATCCTTTACAAATGATGATATCTAGACTAATGCATGATTATCTTAATAATTTGTGATCCACAACTCCAACTTTCTAAACCGCTTACATTATTATTTATAAATAACAATATCGCTCTCTAAAAATTGTGACAAAAAGAATCAAAATTCAAAAACTCTTTCAACATTAATAAAATTTTACAGAATGGATTAACTTCCTAAGAATCAGTAATAGTTACATTTATTTTGTTCACCAATCACATGGACTACAGATGGAAAAAACAGAGATTAGGAAAGGAATTTACTGATTTTTCAAGATGCTGTTTGAGCTGCCGCAATCCACTATCACAGGGAATATCATTCATCGATCCTGGTTTCATCACTACAGCATCCTATGTATCCTGCAAAAACTTCGAATATTCTCTATAAGACACGAATTAAGATAATTGCGACACTTTTGGACTCTGAAACGTTTCTCTCTTGTTTCCATTACTTCTAGAGATAGCACGAAGTCTTTTTCGACAGCAGCGCAAATTCCGCGCAAATAGCAAAGAATACAAGATTTCCAATTCCTTCGATCATACCTACACCATAAAAAGAATAAGATAAATGCAGTATCAACATGCACTGGGCTGCTAAAGGATATGAAGTCTTCAAAATCATATATTTTTCGCCAAAAAATCTTTGTAACAAATACTGTGAAAACAACAAAAATGTCAGAATAACAAAATCGATACAATGGAACTGCAAAGTAATATGTACATAACAACGACAGTAAATATATTGAGAATAATGAGGAAGTTTTCAAAAAATATAAGTCTGGATTTTTCTTAAAAAAATCAGAACCTCGATAGGACTCTAATCCTGAATCTTACCACATGTTCAGTTTCCTTTACTCATCATTCTCAGAACTGATGTCTCATCAAACCACACAGCATTCTCTTCCAACATTTTTGAATAATGCAAATCATACATTCAAATGCAAACTCAACATACAAATATAATCTCAAAAGCTCTTATCAAAATTTGAAACCGGCTTGCAAAAAAAAATAATACAAGCTAAAATACAACTTTCTTCATTAATAAATAAATGCTCGAATCAAGTTCGAAACCGTGCAAATTATTCGCATCACCTTTTAACCGCATCAAAAGACCACCAAATGATGCATATGCCGCTAAGGTGTTTGTTTCGGAACTCGATTCTTCTCCCTCAATTCGATATACTTTCCCAAACATTACATATTCGAATGGATCCAGTCGTGGATAATGTGTCTGAAATTTTTGAATAATGAACAACAAAACCTACAATACTGAAAGCTAAAATATCAAAGTTACAAACCCTGAATTGTTCATAACACACTTCAATCATCATGTTAATTAATTTGCTTATAATAAATGAAACACGTGGCAACAAATGTCTGGACATCTAGCGTAAAATATGATCTGATAGAAGTGATGGCGAAAGATGCATACGGGACAAAACTGGATACCATTTCGATAAGGCTTATGATGTCAATTGTTCAACTATTTTCTGTATCCATAATGTCAATAGAGCTTCGCCAAAGGAACTAAATTCTAAAATTAAATTGAACTTATCTTCCACTGATTGACACAAATGAAATTTTTACCTGATTATCAAATTCCCGTTCATCTGGTAGACCATCGTCACGCAGTGTTGTTGCCAGCAACAGACGGAATTTATCGTTTAAATTCATTGGATATCTAAAAAAAATCATTTAGCTTGTTATGAATTTTTCCACTATTTTGACTTCTTTTATTTTCACTTTATTCTTCAACTTTCTGCATGTTTCGTTCTGAGACTACAAACAAAGAAGATGACTTTACAATTGTGTGTTCACGTCAAGGATGAGCTCCATTTTAAAAGATTCACTGTCGCAGAACAAACGTGAAACACGATCAAATTTCTTCCCTTCCGGGTCAACATCCTTCACAAGAAACATATCATCGAACAGTATACCCGTAGCCATTTCCTGTAATGGCAAACTGATATAATATACAATCATCAAATGGATTAAATGAGAAACATTATGGATTACTTTCAGAATGATAATGAAACAACATTGTACATGGAATTGTTAATAAATGAAGAACGCATTTTTTATGAATTTTAGACAATTATCAAATTTTCGATTCAAATAGAGAAAAAGTATTGAGAAGTGACCCCAGAAAGATACAATTGATATAGTGCAGTAAATTTTAGGAACGCTTTACAGAACTTTCACAAAACCTGTCTACAACCACGTCCGATGCAGTTTAACCAAATCTGATCTTGCTGCAAGACCTATGATAAGCAATCGCAAAACATTTTTTACCAGTGGGCTCTGAACCAATATGCGAAAAAGAAAGCGCATTATCAGGGACATCATTTAAAAAAGTTTGAATAGGAGATCGATAGTTTTAATATTACTGATAATATTACTGATAATTTTCATCTACACTATTTTTGCTTCTTTGTCTGAATATCTCTATTTTTCCGGATTATATTTAGCATAAATGAAACATTCGAAATTGATTGTTATAGGATACAATGCTTTCAATGCCCTTATTGTTGTACCTTATCATCCATCATACAGCGCCATTTAAATTTATTCATATATGCCAGATATTTCATTTCATTTTAATTTGTTTCTGATCCGGTAGTTTCAAGTTTTATCTGTGTTTTACCACGTTAAATCGAGTTTTTAGTGAATTGAATTTGAATCTGTTCGTCCAAGCGTTGTTATTTTGCTAAAGTGCTAAAGTGAGTATTATTTCTGTTGCAATCAATGATTAAGACGGATTAGGTGGATATTTTCAAAAATAATGGCCTTGTGGGTAGATAAATATAGGCCACGTGAGCTATCTGCTTTAACCTATCATGTCAAACAAGCAAAGGATCTCATTGAAATCGTTAAGGTAAGAACTTTTTCTACTGCATTATCTTATCAAGGAAAGTGGGGAACGAAAAGAACAGGAACTGAATGTGAGTGGACGTTAGTAGTTTTTGGCTTTCTTCCACTTCAAAAGGCATTTTGGAAATTTGTTGAGGAAAATTGCCAACTATTGCTATATAGTTAGGACTTGCGTTTGGTAACCCAGCCTAGTACCTCAGTCCTTTGCGAGTGCTACTTATGTACATAAATATTGATATTGACTTATGTTTGGTGCATGTTGAGTTTAAATGGTACTTTTGTATTTTTTTAATTAAATGATTTAAGACAATTCATTTTCTTTTGAAACTTATCTTGATCAGAAAATTGCCAGTCCTTGAGGTAGCATCTTTTGGTTAGAAGTTCATCGTTCTCACCATAATTTATGATGCTTAAGGCTGGTGCAACAATCAATTAAAGGAAGTGTAAAAATCCTATCTCGAAAAATAAATTAGTGGGATGAAAGATTTAGTATCGCCTTGACTATAAATTTAACAAAATCGAACTGTAATTGGTAGTTGGATAAAGGGAATTATCAGTCATATGTTGAATAAATTTTCATTTTCTCTGTACTAAACGCAGATAAATTATTAAAACATTCCTTGATAACGAGGGACTGGTATAATAAAAGTCAAATGTTTCCAAAAAGATTTTGAGGAACTCTAATTTTTAAGATAGGTTTCAGGCCGGTGACTTTCCTCATTTGCTTGTATATGGCCCAAGCGGTGCTGGAAAAATGACTAGAATCTTTTGTATTTTGCGAGAACTTTACGGCAATGGTGTGGAGAAATTACGAATGGATGCACGAAGTTTTCAGGCTCCATCTGGCAAAAAATTGGAAATTCAAACCTTTAGCAGCAATTATCATATTCAGCTTAGTCCGGGGCAAGTTATTTGCACTTGTTTGGAACTCCTACTATTTGAAATATAGTGCAATTTCTGCTATAGAGTAAGAGTTAAAAGAAATTCTCAACTGAAGGTATTGTTGATTGCATTCTTTTATCCAAACATTCTCTTTTAATTTTTTGGCTTATAGGGAGGTTGGTTTCTACGACCGCATCGTTGTCCAGGAAATTATTAAACAAATGGCACAAATGCACCAGATTGATGCTGCAACACAACGAAATTTCAAAGGTTCAATATAATATTGGAATTTTAAATAGACTTGTGCTATCATAATGTTCCCTCTATTTTTATCAAACATACATATCATGATAAGAAATGACACGTGTCAGGCTGGTAAGCTTTATCTCACACATGGAGAAAATTGCACTATACTCATATTTCCAGATGATCTAGTTTTGTAATGTCAATATATCAATTGCCTTCAAATTAATGTATCCATTTTCTATATTTTCAGTTTACTTTTGCATTTAGATATATTTAAATTCAAGCTGTCGTTGTAAAAGAAATTTAATGTAAATTATTTTTTTAGTAGTCGTTTTAATGGAAGCAGATCAATTGACTCGAGATGCACAAAACGCGTTGCGTCGTACAATGGAGAAATATGCTCAAACATGCCGACTGATACTGTGTTGCGATTCAATCAGTAAAATTATCGATCCTCTGAAAAGTCGGTGCTTGGCGGTTCGTGTAGCTGCACCTTCGGATAATGATGTAAGTTTTATATAGGAAAATAACTGTTCTTGAGGTAAACCATGATCTTACTCAAAAGAATTTTGATGATAAATGAAACATGCACTATCTGAAATCCTTAAATTTTTCTTGTAAATTCAAAACCTCTGAAGCTCAAATTCATTTTCTATTCAACAGTTATGCTAACGACTTAAAAACTCTGCATAAAAAACATTTAATTGAGTTTCAGAATTGAAATTTTTCTAGGTAGCGAAAGCTGTTAAACTTGTTTGCAAGCAGGAAAATGTCCCCGTTCCTGAAAGTATCATTGCGAGAGTAGTGCAGAAAGCTAATGGCAACATGCGACGGGCTTTATTGATTATAGAGGCAGCAAAAGTGCAAAAGTAAATAATATTTTCTTAATTATGCAGTAATATTTATGTGTAAAAATTTTTAAAGAAATTTTTACATAACTCCTTGAGCTCGAAATTTTTAATTTCAAAAGTGCACATTCCATGGTTCTGGTTTCTGCTGTTATTTTTCATAATCACAATAAGTGTATTCTTTCTTAGCACTTTACTCCAGTCACGTCATTATTTCGCATTGTATATGGTGTTTCCGAGAAGAAATAAGTGTAATTGAGGGTAATTTAAGCTATTTTGTTTTCAGCTATCCATTCAAAGAGAACCAAGAAATTCCTGAACCAGAATGGGAAGTTTATTTGCAAGAAACGGCTAAAATGATGATACAGCAGCAAAATCCTGAGAAGTTTGTCTTAAGTTACTTTGAAAGATTTTATTATGACTCTAATTCGACTACTTTTTTTGTCTTCCTATATTATATTTACATTTTTACAGCCTTCTCAAAGTGCGGAATAGATTTTACGAATGTATTGGACACTGCATTCCTCCAAATATCATATTTATGGTATATTTGTACTATTCTAATACACAGCTTTATGTGGATTACATTTCTTAAAAATGGATCCTCTTTTTCATTATTGATTGCTATAGATTACAAAGAGATTTTAATGCTTAAAATTATGGTCTTAAAAATAACATATTTTCAGAAATTATTGCAAGAACTGCTGAAGTCCTGTGATAATAAAATTAAAGTTGAGGTGGTTGCTGCGGCGGCTGAATATGAGCATCGCTTAACACGTGGTAGCAAACCTATATTCCATTTGGAGGGTTTTGCTGCATCATTCATGGAAATCTATCACAGACATCAAAATGAGAATGCTATGGAGCATTAATGAAACATTCTGGATTATTATTGGTAATGTAGGTAAATTTCCTTTGATACACTTAATAACTTATTTTTTTCTAATCAAGAATAATACGGTTGATTATGCATTTGTGTATCTTTACTATTTAATTTTCATATTATGTTCTTATTGAATATGCAAGAAAAGGATACTGAAAATCACCATATTCATGAATACCATTCGACAAAAAAACTTCACGAATTATCAGCATATAAATTCTTTACACTGAAATAATTTCTAAAAAAATTATCGTTTTTATTGTTTTTATTCCTTCATGCTCTAACAGAGGCATTAAGTATATTAATAGTTACATAATTTTATTAGGACCAAAAAGAAAACTGGATTCTCATGTTGATCACGATCATAATCATGAAAATCTTGATGAATTAAATGTCGGTTTTAGTCCACGAAACATGCTTTAATATTTGCTGAAATTTTCCCTGAAATCTGTTTGCATGATTACTGAAGCGATTTGCAGACATATTTTTGGCATGCAACACGTTGTAGGAAGTTAAATCTTTTGATCTTTAATAGATCTTTTGATTGATTGTTATTACAGTATTTTTTTTTATCGCTTTAATTTGGTCCATACAGATATTATTGAAACGTTTTTAATGACAAATATTTTTGTAGGGGATAGTTTTTTCCAAAAGTTTAAATCTACATATCCATATTTGCACTATGCAATATTTATTCAGTGCTATCTATCTCACCTGTTATCTCTTGTTTTCGTGAATGATTTAAAAGTAAGATCTATAGTACTATGACAAATAATGTACTATTTTAATGATTTAATGGCAGTGACAATCTGACTCTGCCAATTTGTAAAAAAATTCACAAGTGAACTTTGAAATTGCAACAGTTTTAATTGCTCACCGTTCTCACTATTAAAGCCAGTCTTTTTTACTTCGTTTTGTTAATATTTCAACATTTTGTTGTTTCGAATTTAAATAAATAATTTGTTCTATTCGCCTTGAAAGCATTCATAGTAATAATGATTTGCAAATCATTATCGATATGAGAATTTAGTGCATTTGAATAAATATTTACTTTTTGATTTTTTCTCCTTGCATCCGTTCAAATCATCAGTAGCCTTTCGTAGTACGCCAATATTACTAATGCCATAATAGTGAAAAATGAGGAAACAAAAATTGTATGATAAGGATTATTTTTTCTTTCCGTATTACATCAATATTTCCTGAATGATAGTAAATTTGAAATTTTTTTTAGCACTTTTTTTCAATTGAAGAGATTCAATTTTCAACTTATTTCAACAGGGAACATCCGAATGATTATTAGTGAAATTGATTTTGATGAGTAATTGTGGGTATGCGAACAAATGCATATTTTAAAATTTGTAAAGTATGAGCAGTTTCGATCCCATAAATTACGCCCGTACACAAAGCTTTCCACTTCTTTTAAATTCGAAGTTTAAAGTTTTTCTATTGTTTTAATATACTTCATTCAATTTCCGAAATATTTGAGCGACTTTCAAAAGCTTTGTTTTAATGATTAGTCTTTTAGAATAATTTTTTTTAATTGAAATATTAGATGTTATATGCTTTATAAAACTATAAATTTAATGGTAATATATGTCATTCAATTTTTCTACAACAATAATTGTAATTATAGTAATTAGCTCTTATGATTATTTCTATTGTATCAATATCATTAACATTAAAAATATGATTTAAATATCGCTTAGCATTTATTTCGTTAAAAATATATTATTGATAACAATGAAAACCTGTTCTATTACTCACTAATTGCACTGGTTGCATGTGTATGTGAGCTCAAGTATTCTTCGTTTCACTCATTTGCAACTTCACGAATTTTACATTCCAATATAAACATGACAGATTTTAGGATTCTCTGCTCTCACTTAAATTGCCATAAAATTTGAGATTGAAAAAAAAAATGTTTGTTTATCATTATATTGCGATAAGATGAAAGATCGAAGTATTATGACAAAGGTAGATAATTTAAACAATGTATTGTTTAAGTTGTCTACCTTTGTCATAATATTGTTTTGATCTTTTTTAATCTACCTTTGTCTTTTATATGCGTAGTATTATTGTTATTATTATTACTATTATTATTATTTATTATGATTATTATTATTTATTAATATTACTATCACTAATCGTTATTAATTACTATTATTATTAGATTATTATTATTATTATTTATTATTATTAATTATTAATTATTATTGTTGATTATTATTATTGATTGTTATTATTATTTATTATTGTTGATTATTATTATTGATTGTTATTATTATTTATTATTATTGATGATTATTATTAGTTATTGTTATTGTTATTATTATTATTATTTATTATGATTATTATTATTTATTGTTATTTATTAATATTATTATCACTAATCATTATTAATAACTCTTATCATTTGATTATTATTATTGATTATTAATTATTATTGATTATTATTATTATTAATTATTATTGTTAGTTATTACAATTAATTATTACTATTATTTATTACCATTAATTATTAACTATTATTATTATTATTATTATTATAAAATTAAATCTGAATATCTCCCTGTTTACAATCTTTAAAATTATAACTAAAATAAATATTTTGAATTATATAATTCTTTCGAAATGATCGTTAAGTTTTCTGCGCCTTAATAAAATGTTTATTAAGTAATAAACAAATGTGTGTTATTTGATAATATTAATTTGTTGTAAACATATTTTTATCCTTACTTACTTTAAATACTTACATTAAAAATGGGATGTTTTAAACAGATGTCTATTTTCAAGTGCAAATGTCAAATTTCAATAATCCATTTTATCTTTTTTGTTTTTCACAATTTTTGCTATATTTTTCCATTTCTTCATTTTTACAACATCTAATATTTCATTTTTTATTGCTTTTCGTTTACTGCTTTTTCAAATTTTAAATTTTATTTTCAAAAAAAAAAAAAGCATCAACATTTTGAAATGTGATGATAAATAAGTTGAAGTTAGGTATAAGTGTTTTGTGGAATTTTTAAAACGATGATTCATCGCGCATTTTTTTACAGTAAAGTAGAAAATATTATTATTGTTGTTATTATTACTGTTATTACTATTATTATTATTATTGTTATTACTATTATTATTTATTGTTATTATTATTTATTATTATTATCATTTATTAATATTATTATTATTATTATTATTATTATTATTATTATCACTAATCACTATTAGTTAATATTATTATTAGATTAATATTTATTATTATTATAACAATATAATAATTATTATTATATTATTATTATAACTATAAAAAAAAGCTTTCTTTTTAAAAATTGAAAAAAATATTTCTTTTTTTAAAAACAAATGTGTATTTTTGAAAAAAACATATTTTACACATTTTAACATTACCACAAAATGTGATGATGGATGTTGGACAATTCGAAAATTTTTCATTTGACTTATTTTTCAACGGATAGAAAGAGCACTATTATACTTTCTATTAGACAAATATCATTTTTAGACAGCCTTCATTGACAAATTTAATTATTATTATATTTACCTTAACTTTTCTTTTTTGTTATATTGGTGTCTTCCTTTCTGCTTCCATTTTTCCTTTTCATCACTAGTTGATATAATTAATCAATTTTTATCAGTTAGCTTGGTGATATAAATTTTATTGTATAGAAAGATTTATTTACTTAGTCTTATTTTCT